AGATGATTTAAACTTGCTTTTTTAGAAATTCATTTACTCTAAATCAAAAACTCATTAATCCATAAAAACATATTATATTACTATTGTTAATTACACTAAAAGAATTATATTTCAAACTCTTTACCCTAAACCCCAAATCTAGTGTCCTTAATTTTAAATGAATAATCATGACTTTAACTTATTATTTTGTAAATCTAAATCTTAATTTTTGGTTGTGTATTAGTAAATTTGATTGATTTTGAATAACAACAACATATATATAAATTGATAAGACCAAAAAACAATACTTTACTTATTGAATTATCACATAGTAACATAGCAATTCATTTCCAAATTTTCAATCCCCTAATTTACAAATCTCTAATCACTTTTCAACACCAAGAAGCACTACTCAGTGCTGAGTTGCCACTCATGAGATACTTCCTCATTTTCTCAATCTTCTTCTTCTTTTTACAACCAGCTTGAGACTCTCATACTTATTGTACATCCTCATTGAGCGTCGTGGTGACAGTGACCTTCTTTATAACAAGATAAGCTAGTAGAAACCGACACCAAATTGACCAATTATGCTCACACCAGCTCCAGCTTGGAGTGCTTCCATAAAATCCTTAGTTCATACCTCGCAATGGTATCCAAATTGTTCACCATATATGCTTTGGTCAAGTTGATGTCACAGTCAATAACAGAGTGTGTCTTGTTGGTCTTGGTTGGGACCAACCTGATGAAGAGTTTGAGTTGTCCATCAAGCTTGCTCTTGTCGGTCAAGCTCTCGAATCGAATTTTATCAAGAGCCTGCAAAAAAACCATGTGTATAAGCATAATCAGAATCTTCCCTTTCTTAACCATTGACGAGAACGATTCTCTAAGAGATTTTTTAATTGACCAAGAAAAGAAAAAAAATAAGATCGGAATTTATAAAATCAGCAACTAGAAAACTAATATCAACCTTCTGAGGAAACAACAATAGTCAATCACTCTAAACGTAACAAACTTGTTAAGAATATCCATGAAAGATACAAGATCCTACCAACTTATAACCAACTAAAAGAGACAGAAAATGGAATTAAGATCCTCAAAATTCTCATATGCCAACTAAGAGCGAATAAGAGCAGCACCTGGGCAATGCTTAGCTTTAATTATGTTTGCCATTGCAATAACTGTGTGATCAATAACTTTCTTTCAAAGACAAAATGAGAAAACTATCAGAGATCGAAGCATCAGGCTCTGCTTCTTCATTTACTGCATCCTCTTCAGCTTCTCCATCTTCACTTTTCTCACCCTGATCCGCAACCATTAGCTCTTCCAATTTCCTCTGCAAAACTGAATTACCAAATTTAGAACAATACAAAATCAGACGAGAGCTCAAGGCCAAGAATCAAAATCCATATAACATCAATGATTGAACATTATCAATCTCTCTGACATGTCACCCACTATCAATCACTCATGCATCATCAAAACTATTAAAGGCCAATAGGAACATTACATTCTGACAAATGTAAACTTGAATTAATATTTGTAGTCAAAACATAAGAATCATTCAAATGTCCATCGAAACAAATCAGAACAAGTTCATTGTAGAACCTCCTACCAAAAAGATAGAGATTTAAGTCTAATCTATAACCCATGGATGATGAACGACACAAATCACAAATGAAATTTTGCAGACATCCGTAGCAATAACTGTGTGCAGCTCAAAATGTGTAATAACTTTGTACTTTAATAGATCTCCATACTTGGATGTTCCTTTGCATTTGCTACGGGCCATGAAATTCCTACCTGATAACATACAAACAAAAATTCATAACCATGATCAACAAAAGAGCTTGAATTAACAAGTAACTTAGAACGAAACCTCTCTCTATGCAATTATTTTAGATCATTAGTCTCTTAGCAAGAAGTTTAACACTATATGACTGATCCAAGGTACATCAGAACCATTTACCATATGTAAGAGTTTTCATAAGGTTATTATTAGTCATGACCAGTAAACCTCAAGAATGCAGATTTCTAATTAAATTTCATCATCCCAGCAAACAAAAGCAACGCAACCCACCTATGAAGATGCGAATCTAGATGGTTTCACAGGAAATTACCATCAGTTTTAAGGGCATATTCGACACTAAATTTGTTCACCACGTCTAACTTCGAGATCCATCTCAGAAGGCTCCTCCATCTGCGACAATTCCAATTTGTCCGCAATCAAGACTTCAAAATCTGGGTAAACCCGAAAACCCAGAGAGATAAAGAGAAAGAGAATAGAAAATCCAATTTCGAGTTTATTGGAGTTTGTTATCGTTAAACAGGTAATGAATGACCCGGCACTGAACAATCGGAAGAGATTTAGGGTTGAAGGTGGAGAGAGCGAGAAACGATACTGAGATCTATGCAAATCTTTGTTTTTGTTCTTTTATGTTTTATTGTTTGGTTTTGTGGTCAAGATAGATACAATGGCGCT